TCGAGATTGAGACCATCGCCAGCCCCTACTGGGCACCCACCCTGGAGTTCAAACTGCACCTATCAGAGCCGAAAAACTGCACCTTAGGCCTGGCCGCCAAGGGACGTGGGCCAGTGGGACGATCTCCTGCGGGAAAGCCTGTGAACTAATAGTTGAAACAATGGTGAAACCTGGAACTTTGAGGGATGTCACCCAAAAAAAACAGGTCGCAGCCGAACTTCCAGCATCGTTTTGGCTTTTAAGGAACCAATCATAGGATGTCCTTTTTCCATTCCAGCCGATTCCAGCCATAGAAGCACGGCATTTGCGTGCCCCTGTAAGAAGTCAGGAACATCCGCAGGTGTTATGGCCCAAGTATGTCAGTGGGATAACCCCACTTGAACTGGTGATGTCAAACACCTTTGTTTTTTCCACAGAATTGGGCTATAAATATACTATAATTAAATTCATATAAAATCCATAGAATCCGACGCATGTACTATGTTTATCTATGTTTTGGGTGGCTCAAGCACCAGATGCTTCCCCACGATGAGGGCCTGGGTCAGCCGGAGGCACTTACCTCCACAGCTGTCGGGTGAAAGTCATCGATGGAGACACCTTTCCTTCCAGCAGGTACCAGGATCTCCTCTCGTCTCTTGGCTTCAACGAACTCCTGGACATGGGAATTGCACTTTTTCAGAGCTGCCTATTGTGGGTTTGTATCAATGTCATGGTTAGCACCCCCCAGTCATCACCATTTTTTGGTTGGTGGTATGGTTACCATTCCCAGTCATGGCTGGTATGAATCATACCTGCAAACTGTTTGACCTCGGAGAGCCATTCCAGCAAGCCATGTTTGATTGTTCCATAGTAGTTTTACCCATTAAAACCGGTGGATCTTTCCATAGTTATGTAAACGTTGACCAGGAGGGTAGCTTGATTTGATGAGAGCGATTCCTAAGTTCCTTGATTTGATGCGCTTTCGATATTGTTTTGGGATCTGGCTGCCCACAAGTGGCTGGAAGTGTATTGGAACATGGTAAAACCCTGGTTTCATTATGGGGATACCCTCTGGTAAACTAACATAGCTATTGAAAATGGCCATAGAAATAGTCGATTTACCCATTAAAAATCGTGATCTTCCATAGCTATGTTTGTTTACCAGAGGGTAAACCAACATCTATATAATTAACTACACATTTTTGGACCATATTGGCGGGATGAACATCCGTAAGTACCAGCTATTTTGGCTTATCCGGGTACCATGGGAACTCCCGGAACTACGTGGAGGTTTCGTTGGCTTTTCCGGTGATTGATGTCACCCCTTAGAGTATATCCGTGTCATTCCGTGTCAATCCATTCTCTGGCTGCTGATTTCAAATATGTTATATTGTCAACCCTATCTAGGATGATTATTCCCATGTTTATATGTTTTCAGGCTTGAAACATGTTGAAACCACCAGACATCCATGGTGCCATGCGTCACGCTCCGCTACACTACGCAGCTTCCAGGCAAGGAGAAAAAGGTGTGAGGCAAATCCGCTCCTTGGCATCGGAAGGGAGGCCGTCAGCCCTGAGTTTTGAATTCCAGGCCTGTTTTGAGTTCCAAAAAACGGCATCTCTCCGTTGATTGTACTTGCAACATGTTTCAGAACTTAAATCAAACAAAGAACGGAGATCATCAGGATAGCTAGTAGGTGTACGAACTTCACCACTTTTTTTCCACTGAGGATTGAAGCAGCAACATATATCAAAATGGGTCATGATGGGATCAGAGCTGGTGCTGGTGGGTGCCCGGAAAAATCAGATAATTCCGATGGTGTTCCATTTTTTCTTCCATTCCTTGGGAACCAAAAAGTAGATCTAAAAAGCATATCAACATATATTAAGATATATATATAATTACATTGTACATATTATCAACTGATGTTCATTGATGTTCCATGGTTTTTGTTCCGTCTTTCCCATGGCTTTTTCCCCTAAAACTATTTCCCCTTTTAATTTACGGCGCCGTCCCTGGAACGCCATCCAGGTTCCGTGGGCCTCTTCTGGCAGTTCTGGAAGCTGTGTTTCTTCCAGGTGCCAGGTATCGCCTGGCGCACACTGCTTACCATGCTGCTGGATCAGATCAGGTCTGGAAGATGGAAGATCTGTTTTGTTTTTTTGGGGGTGAGATTCTGGCTGTTTTTGATGATTTTGATGCTGTTTTATGGATTGAGATTCTGGCTTTACCTTCACGTGATTTTCACACTTAGACTCTGAAAATAGCCAATCTTGAGTGGAGGAGACTAATCTTCCCCTGTTTGGCAGGGTCTATGTCATTTTGAGATATTTGGGGAGCGCATATGGGTTTTTACAAATATCTCCATCAGAATGAAGCTGAATGAAGCTGAATGTTGCTGTATCTGTAGAAGTGAAAAGCTAAGCCATTTTCGGTGGCAGGAGGTAACCAGCTGCAAGCCCACCAGCCCACTTGAACTCTGGATCTGGGCAGATTGGAAGAGCTTATTCATCCGTAACTAAACTTTTCCTAAAGCCCAATCAGCTGTTGATGATTGTTCCCAATGGTGGAGGAATGGATATCGCTTCTTCGTGCTGCTGCTGAACATCTACTTGGTAGACGTTTTGTTCAACACAAAGGATCCCAAAACGGAGGACAGGGGGCAGAGGGGCAGAGGCCTGGACTGGATGGTGCCATTTTACAATAAAAAGTTTCCGCTTCAGATCTGTTCACCATGGACTAGGGGAGGTTTACTTACTACATAATATATATATATACATATATATAAATATATATATGATTATATGAGTATATTCTTGGTTGTTTGCGTATGCCAAGCGAACCTAGAACCCGAACAAAGATGTACTTAAAGGTTGCAATCGACAAACTTGGGGTTTGTCCGACAGTTCATGGAAACAGGAGGAGTCGACTTGGGGCCGTGCTCCTCCGTTTGTGTATAAAACACCTTTGCACGAGAACCTTGCCCGCTGTTTTGGGACGTTTCATAACTCCACAATTATCCAACAAAAAGACTAATGTTGGTAAAACAATGTCATAAACCATCCCCCCAAATCACCATTTCAATAGGTGGTATAAACCATTCCCAAATGGGTGGTTTATGGCATTGTCTTACCTACATTGTAGATATTATAGGCATATGGTCATCAAAAACCATCAAAAACCGGTCAACCTTTATACTCCATAGCACCTCGAAAGCCCTAGTGCCCATTGTTTCAGACCACGACCCACAAGCCCATCATTCTGTCGCTTTGCGGTCCTCGCAGGGAAAAAATGCATTTCATGTCTTGGATGGGTGCCAAGAGTGCCATAAGAATTACACACAAAAGAGCCAGACACCAGGAGAGTGTCATACATCTCCATAAGAATCATACCTAAATGGTCCAGGTTTGGAAAAAGTACTTCGATGTCTTTTTCCCTTGCTATTTTCGTGGCTTCCTGGGAAACCACGGTGGTATTTCCAAGTTCAGGAGCAGCTGCTGACCCCCAGCCGGAGTGATACCGCCATGATCGTTGGTGCTGCCCTGGTGGTGCCGATGGTCTTCGTCCACTTGGCCGAGTTCATCAAGGCGGATGTGAAAATCCCATGGGGCAAGCCGACGAAAAATAATCTGCAAATGGTGGAACAAACATGAACAAAACACATCTATGTTCTTTTGCTCTAGGCATCCCCTAGGGTTCCAGATGGTTCCAGATGTTTGAGCTAGGTTTGAGCTAGGTTTGAGCCAGATTTGGGTAGAAAGTGGCTAAGGTTTTTCCAAATTCTTCCGCTTTCAAAACGTTGGTAAAGCCCATGGTGTTCGACTCGCGACTGTTTTCAACGCTGCGTTGGAACCGGGCCCACCGGGACTCCACCAGATCCAGGTCCGGATGGATCTCACCGGGCATCTGCGACTCTTTCTGCAGAGCAGTTTGTTCCGAAAGTACCTCAACTACAGCACCGCGGCGAAACACGAAACAGACATACTAACTGTATTGAAAAATGTCCAAAGTCTGGATGTTACAAGTCTGGGCAGTAATATCTTCAAAAAACAAGACTGATGAGAGTTTCATAGAATGCATGTTTGTTTTCATGTTCAATGGATTGGTTTAAGGGAAAATCTTAACCGGAAACCATAGATTTTCCCATTAAATATGGGGCTTTCCTGTAAATTTTGCGTCTTCGATCTCATGGCTTCACTGGATTTCCATCCTTCACAAAGGGCGGGCAGTTGGGGTGATTGGTGCAGCGAGCTATGGGATTTTAAGAATCCCATAAGTCACTTTAAGTGGATATGGAAAGAACATGAAAGAACCAGAACCTATATCTTCTATGGGAATTTTAAGCTCCAGAAGTTTGGATATGGATGGATATGGATGGGGATATGAATGGGGCCCCTGCAACTATGTTTATCTGGTGGAACTGCACCCAGGGGCTGCACAGTTCTTCTGCTCACAAGCCACTGTTTTGTTGCTTCAATTTAGCAGCTTTGTCGAGTAAACCGTGTCAAATCCCGTGTGTCGTGTATTGCTGGTTCAAATCCGTTCTTCGTGGTTAGGTTTCTGGTTGGTGTTTTTAGGGTTGGACCACTGAGCAGCGTATGCATTTTTGATTTGGTTCATATCCCTTAGTCCATTCCATTTTATGGTTTGAAACTTGGATAGATAAATAAATAAATACATACATACATATATATATATCATTCCTGTGACACTTTATGACGATTTCAACATGTTTCAAACTTTTTTAAAGCCATGACTTGACTGCGGCCTTTTTTTTCGAGACCACGTCGTTTGGACTTTTCGAGGCGATGAGTCAAGGTCCTCAGTGCCTCCGTCGGAGATGCAGACGGGAATCACACGAGAATCGCTGGAAGCGGCAGCAGCACGGCTGCAGCTTCTGGGGGCTGGGGAACATTTCAAGGGACTACAGGATGGGGCCCCCAGTCGAGCTCGCATTTTTTCGTTGCCCTTTAAGTGGCTGAATTCTATGGTTTATGGTAGATATAACTATAGTATTCATGGAGGTTATAATGGTTTATAAACCAACTTATAACTGCGGGGCCCCATCCTGTATGTCTGAGAATTATTACGGGAACATAGTGGGAATGTAATCTTTCAATATATTTCACGGGAATATGTCATGGCAATATTATGGCTGGAAAGGGTTCGATGATTTGATTAAATTCCCTCCGGTCATTTGACGTAGCGCACTGGAAAATCACCATTTAATTCAACACGGTAAATCTCATCATAAATCCTGGAACTAAATGGGCCCATGGCTTCCATAGCTATTACTATGGCAAAGAAGCAGATTGTAACTGGGATATTGGAGGTTTCTGGGAATCCTTGGGTGGATTATCCAGCCACGTTTGGAGGGTACTAATTAATCCTTCCCACTGGTTGATAGACGGGCCACCCCCGAATTTATGACTAACAGTTCGCCATGGAAAGATCCACCATGCTATTTTCATAGGTAAACCATCCATTTCGATTAGGGCCATCTATACCATGGCTATGTAACAAATAACCAGAGGGTACCTCCAAAATGACCATTGGTCGATGACTCACTGCTCAGGATTCCTACCGGCGCTTGCTGGATTTGATCGCCATTTTCGCCGAGCTTCATGGAGAGCTTTTGGGGCGCCTGTTGACTGGGCAGTAGCCAAGACCAATAGACAATTGATGCCGACCTTAAAATTTAACTCCGGCAAATGGCCTTCAGCCAATGGGCTTTGGAATGTTTTGGAATGGTTTACCCTTTGGTAATTTAAGATAGCTATGGTATCTGTTAAATTTTGATGATTATCGTCCGTAGCTATCTAAAATTGCCGGCCAGAATGTAGAGGTCATTGATACATCATAAAACAACATCACCGCGTAGATCATGATTTTACCCAGGTATGGGGTGCGATGTGAAGGGTGAAGTCCCTGCTAGTGTTGATCCCCAAAGCTACCTTTTGGTCACCGTACTTGGTGAGAACATTAAATTGGTACTGGATCACCAACTCCATTTTGGCCGGGTGAAATCCTTTTATTATGTGTTGGATTCCTTAAAAATCCCTGACATTTGTTGGAGTTTAAGGCTAGCCGTCTTCACGTACTTCACCATCCTCGAAAACCCCTCTGCGGTCTATTTCGTTTTGGCGATGCCTTCCACAATGCTCCTGTACTTCCTACTGACGCTGCACCTGGGCACGCGGTCCTTCCACCGGGGCTACCGTGGGTCATGGAGGGGACCCCGTTGACCCCGGGATCTGTTCATCTTGGAGTGGGGAGGGTGGAGGCCCAACTAAGGTGCAGACCCGAGATGGATCAATGGAAGGACAGGCCTCGGTCCGGTGTAGCCTCGGCCCGGTGGATCCACATAGAATAAACAGAATTCAAGCCCATGAAAAGCTGTTTGCTCATGAATCTGAATTTGTTTACTTCTAACGTTATATATATATATATACACCCATATGTGTTATATATATATATACATATATAGTTGCATCATATACCATATATGTACTTCATACGCTAATCAGAGTATATTTCACCCAAAAAAACTTCTGGACCCAGTGTCCCTCGATGCTGCTGAGCGATAGGAGGCGGAGATGTCCGTGTTGCGGCTGGTGAGCGAAGTTTGCCACTGCTACCGCCTGATTGCGGACTACTTTCAGACCCCCGAAAAGCAAGGGAAGAATGGGAGGGTCGCAAGAAAGCAAGTTTGCGACAACCAGAATTGAAGGGAACATTTGCCTCAACCCCTGAAAAAATCATTATACTTGAAAGTAAAACCATGGAGTCCTATGTTTTTCTTCAAAATTTCGCTTGAACTACTCCATGGACTGCTGCTTTCAAGGCCATTAAAAGGTCCATGTGCTGTTGTGCCATATTTGCCGGTGATCTTCCCAATGCTAAAAGATCCAGACAGACATAGCCGACCCCAAAAAACAAATGTCTTATCTCAATAGTTTTCCATGGTTGTTCATGGTTTTATAATGGTTTATCATGCTTTTTTTGTGGCGAAAAAAATTAGGGCAGACAGTTTTCTATAGTTTTCTGGGCAAACCATGACAAACTAAATTTTGTGAATCATTCTTGTGTTCTCATGTGTAATCATTGTATCCCCACTAATATCCACATCTCCCCCCCAGTATTTGGATCGGCCGCAAAGGAGACCGCAGATGAACGAGGCCTTTCAACGCAGTGCCAGTGAAATGAGAAGGACCGGGAAAAAGATACATGAGAGCCAGATGAGCAGATGAATGTAGATGATATCTCTTCTATATGGAAAGAAATCACTAGCAGTAGATGATCTGTTCGAGATCTATTCTATATATTTCTATATCTGATTATATCTGATTATATCTGATTATAGATGTCTATTAAATCTGGGAAAGTATGGCAGTGGGATGGCCCTGGTTCCGCAGCGGGAAGATATAGCTGAATCTCAGCCACAGCTGCCCTGAAAAATGCGGTGCATTGAACAAAACTTGGGATTTAACGACCAGCAAGAAATGTTCTATTCAAAAATCCAGCAAATCATGGGATGTCAACTTGACATTTTCTATTTGATCCCATGATTCTTTTGGCAGCCCATCCAATTTCTGCAACGAACCGGCAAAGATGACAATGATGATAATGTGTGCAGCACGCTGTTTGTGAAGAAAGCTGGGTATGTAGAGCGTGACGGTGATTTGTTTTGGGCAACCCTCCGGTTGGAAAACGAAAACTGAAGACCAAGTGACCAACAGGTTGACTGGTGATGAGAATTAGCATCCAACAAAGATAAGTACTGCCATCCCAGCCATCCCAGCCATCCCAGCTATCCCAGCCATCTCAGCCATTCAAGGGCCCAGCTCTAGGAATTTAGTGCCGGAAAATGTGGCGCATTTGAATGACGACTTTTTTCCCAAGTGGCTGGGCCCCATCTTTATGGGTTTCTTGGCCAATCCAGTCTCGCGGCAGTGGGTATACTTGGATATCTTGGATTGGATTGGATGGTTAGCATGGGACTTCAATGGGCTTCTTCCACTGAACAACCTTGGGAACAACATAAAAAGTCTATATCCACGTTTAACTTCCATATAACTGTATTGGTTAAGGTTGTTCATACTTTTTATCTCCACGTTTAACGTGAAGAACTCATGGTTGAAATCCTGGGCTCATGCTATGGCTCAAGCTGGCTCGGGGTGACCCCGTGACGGCTGAGGCTTGTACATAGCACTGGATGCCAGCGACGTGGCTGAAATCGCCAGGAAGCCGCAGAAGTTGGAGCTACTTGTAGCTACCAGATATAAGGCCCATCTTTTAGGACTAGACTATGTCATTTTTTCATATTTTTCCCACTCATTGATCAATGGGCTGAATGACTTGGTAATTTGTTGGTCTCCACCCCTGCACGAAGCACCCATGATTGGTAGCCAAGCAATGGGCCGTTTGTGGTGATGTTGTGGCTTGGGCGTTCCATCAAATTTGGTTTAACACATCTTTAATATGTTTACCCTCTGGTAAACTAACAGTTTGCTATTGAAAATGGCCATAGAAATAGTTGATTTACCCATTAAAAATGATGAGTTTCCATAGTTATGTTAGTTTACCAACGGTATATGTTTTTTGATGCTTGTAGATGGGATGCTTATAGTATTTTGTACCTCTCATTCATTTTCGGAAACTTTAAAGATGTAAGATACCTAAGCGTTCCCCAGCACGTTCCCCACCATCTGAAGCTTCATTGTCCATCCACATCCCAAGTTTGGTTGGTGAATCTGCCATTTTTTTCAGATGTTCATTCAATTTCTTTCATTTGTTCAGCTTTAGACGATTTCTTTGAATCCTGCTAATTGGATTGCCATCCTGACTGCAGCCTCTCCCGAGGGCACAAGAGAAAAACACCCTTTCATTTGTTCCTCAATTCCAGTGCTGGTCACCCCTTTGACCCATGGCTTGAAACTCACAAATGCTGCCAGTATCCATTGGGTTATATAATATATATATATATATGTGTGTGTGTATATATGGTCTCGTGTTCCGTGTTCCTACCCCCCCCGACCCCCCCAATGGTATGGGTCCCCAGGTAGCACCCCCTTCCCTTCTATTTGCAAGCTATTGGCAGCATTTCTGAGGTCCAGCCTCGTATTTGCTAGGTCTTTGCAGCATTTCTGACTACTAGCCTCGCATTTACTAGGTACATGCTACCTTTTAGACGACCTACGTAGCAAACATACTCCCTCAAAGTACCTACGTGCTACCTATAGTCATATATACATGTGCTATGTACCTACTTCCTATTTACTACCTGTGTACTCTCACAACACTACATGTGTTTAAGATATACCGTACCTACCATACATTCCAATGATACCATACATACCATACATACCATACATACCATACATACCATACATACCATACATACCATACGAACTTTGACCATACATACCATACCTATCATACATACCATACCTATCATACCTAACATACCTATCATGCATACCACACATACCATACATATGAAACATAATTACCACACCTCCCACACATACAATACCAAACATACATGCCATACATACCATACCTACCTTACATAGCAAACATTCCATACCCATCATAGTAACCATACATACCATACAAACCATACATACTGTCATATCAAACATGCCATACCCAACAGACTTACATACCATACCTACCATCCATACAGTACCACACCATCACCACACCACAGGGGGGGAGGGGGGAGGGGGGAGGGGGTTGGAACGCTGAACCATATATACATGGTATCGTCAAAGTGATGATATTTGGATAATAGTTCCACCACTAGTTCGTTATAATTCCAGTTTCATCCTTGACGGTTTTCATGGAAACTGGTGAAACCACGTTTCATTGTGATGGGGTAAACTGGGTAGACTAAGAGAGATGCGGAACACACACACTAGACAAGAATGGATCATTATATGATCCGGCAGGAACTGAATCCCGAAACATGCAGATTAGAACAGAAACACAGAAATTAACGATGCATCCTATGAATAATAGAAGTTCTCCCAGATTGCGGCAACAGTGCAACAACAGGACAAACAGTTCAAACTGAGTTCTGCAGGTACACATCAGGACGTCTCCCGATGCATCACCAGAGAATGTGGACGTCTTCGTTGGCAGTGATCCCACAGACTCTGTCACTGCCCCCTGCACTAGGTTTAAAAAGGGAGAGGACAGAAGGAAGAAAAAGAGAGAAGTTTTACATCTATTTAGATGTTACACACACACACACCCGGCCAGAGCCGGGTCAACCCTGAAAGGCAAGAGGAAGAAAAAAGCGGACACACGAAGGGCAAAAGGCCAAAAACAGCGCAGGGGGGGGAGGGGAACAGACGGACCTCCGGAACCAACCTACACGGCGAAACGGACCTGACCAAAACAGCGCACGCACCTAAACCCCACGACACATTACGGAGAAGCACGCGGGGAAATTAGGGACCAAATGGGGGACTAGTTGATGACAGACAGGAAAACCAAAACAATTAGTAAAACAACAGGATTCAGTTCCTAAACCTAAAGGTCGTGCAATTGTGCCACTCCAGGCCCGTTGTCAGTTCTTGCCCCAATCGGCATATAACAGCTTCCAGGTTCCAACGAATTAGGTGCACAATATGTTTGACCTCACCAGAAAACCATCAAAAGAAAAAGACCACACCTGGAAGTCGTGTGCCTGCCTGGTTCCTTTGTCATGACATGATGCTGTGTCGCTGTGAGATTGCTGCAAAAAAGGAGAGGTTTCTGATTGTTCCGTACAGCTTCACACTCAAAGAACTGCATTCCACAGGGTTCACAAGGGACAGCCGGAGCAGCGAGAATCTCCAAAAACGGTGGATAACAGTAAGGCAGACTGTTGCACTTTACTTAAACGAATTACCAAATTAAAATGTGTGAATTCAGAATTCCGGTCAGTCGACATTCACCCTAAACAGGGTTGCCTCAATTGGCCGTATGGCACCATGTCGGAGTCACCATAGGAATCACACTAGACAAGAATGGATCATTATATGATCCGGCAGGAACTGAATCCTGAAACATGCAGATTAGAACAGAAACACAGAAATTAACGATGCATCCTATGAATAATAGAAGTTCTCCCAGATTGCGGCAACAGTGCAACAACAGGACAAACAGTTCAAACTGAGTTCTGCAGGTACACATCAGGACGTCTCCCGATGCATCACCAGAGAATGTGGACGTCTTCGTTGGCAGTGATCCCACAGACTCTGTCACTGCCCCCTGCACTAGGTTTAAAAAGGGAGAGGACAGAAGGAAGAAAAAGAGAGAAGTTTTACATCTATTTAGATGTTACACACACACACATATATATATATATATGGATCTATATGGTATCCCTGGGAAAATCGTCTACATTAGGATGTGGCTTTCCCACATCAGAAAGAACTGAAAAACAACTTTCAATTTTGGGTCGTGGAGCGGAGCGCTACTTCGAAGTGCAGATGATGGGGCTGAAATCGCCATGGTTACCCATAGTGGCGTAATCATAATCATTAAATATTAGCCAAGGTTAGCCATATTAAGAGTTATAAAACTAACCATTATGAACCATTACTAAGCATTATCAAGCCATATAGTTGATAATCAAACTAGGTATGATTAGTATTAACCCATTATTGTCAACTATCAACCATTGATAATCATTATCGATCCTCTTTCTGAATTTAATAATGAATATTAACCATTACTCACCATTGTTAACCCATTATTAAAAGTCATCACGAACGATTACTAACCATTATTAATCATTATTACGAGTCATTACCAGCGCTTACTAACCATCATTAATGATTATGAACCACTACTAATCATTATCAATCATTGTTAGGGTCATTACTCACCATTATCAACCCATTACGAACCATTATGAATGAGTATTTCAACATGTTTTTAGCCGTTTTTCCATTACTATATAAATGAGCATTATTAAGCATAAAGAATCATGAACAATCATAACACTGGATAAAAAAAGGTTATTCGCCATTACTAACATTACCAACCATGATTGACCCAGCCATTCTTCACCATATATCCCTTAAAAAATCGTCATGTCCCACCGCGAGGCAAAGTACTTCAAAACGAAGTCTCGCTGGGCACCTTTCTGGCTACCCTGGCGCTGATGCGAATCTGGGTCGAAATGGCGCGGATGTCCCAAGGTGTTGGGTGGAAGCTGTTTAAGGGTAGGTCCGGTAGGTTCATGGGAGATCAACTTGTAGGGGATTGAAAATGACTTTCATGGGAGATTTCAATTGGATTTTGTTGGATACCTGGTAGGGTTTGAACATGTTTGAACTGTTTTTTTTTGAACCAACCAAGATGACCCAAGATGTGGAGATCATATGATATCATGGGATTTCATGGGGACATTTCTGGAGATGTATGATGGGACGCAACCTCATGTCGCGCAGCGCTGGAATGATGGGAATTGGATCAAGGGAATCATCCCCAAATGGCGGAACTCTTCAGGTCGGTGAATTTTTCGGAGAGAGAGAGAGAGAGTTTGCTGCGCATGAAGCGGAAACAAGGGGGGGCCTGAGAACCCAAAAGCAAAACGACAGCAAACAAATTCGAGTAATAATTGGTTTATTTCCCTTTCGCCTCTTGCCAGCACCTTTTTGGAAGATGAATATTATGGGCGCATTCACTGCAAAATTCATTTTTTCAGCTCTACAGAGACTTTTACACACAGAGGACGTTTTACACAGAAGCAAGGTTTTGTTTTGTGCAAACGACTTCTCTGTGTCAAAGCCTCTGAGTCCAGCATGCTGTCTCGCTCCCTCCTAGCGAAGCTCTCCCCAAGCTATTTCCACGGTTTCCCCTCCGTCCAGCATGCTGTCTCGCTCCCTCTCCCGGGAAGCTGTCCTGGGAAGCTATTTCCCCCCCCTTCCTTCCTTCCTTTTCCTTCCTTCCTTTTCCTTCCTTCCTTTTCCTTCCTTCCTTTTCCTTCCTTCCTTTTCCTTCCTTCCTTTTCCTTCCTTCCTTCCTCTTCCTTCCTTCCTCTTCCTTCCTTCCTCTTCCTTCCTCCCTCTTCCTTCCTTCCTTTTCCTTCCTTCCTTTTCCTTCCTTCCTTTTCCTTCCTTCCGTTTCCTTCCTTCCTTTTCCTTCCTTCCTTTTCCTTCCTTCCTTTTCCTTCCTTCCTTTTCCTTCCTTCCTTTTCCTTCCTTCCTTTTCCTTCCTTCCTTTTCCTTCCTTCCTTTTCCTTCCTTCCTTTTCTTTCCTTCCTTTTCCTTCCTTCCTTTTCCTTCCTTCCTTTTCCTTCCTTCCTTTTCCTTCCTTCCTTTTCCTTCCTTCCTTTCCCTTCCTTCCTTTTCCTTCCTCCCTTTTCCTTCCTTCCTTTTCCTTCCTTCCTTTTCCTTCCTTCCTTTTCCTTCCTTCCTTTTCCTTCCTTCCTT